ATAAATGTCTAATCACTGTGTTGTACTTCTGAAACTAATACATAGTATGTCAACTGTAATTAAAAAATTAATTTTAAAAAGTTTTAGGGAAAAATTTTAAATCTGCTTTTTTATTTAATCCATTGGTTCATCTTTAATTTAACAACTGTAGTAAAAGAAAAATGCCTAGCTAAAATAACATTCTTTTGTTAAATAAGGTTTAAAAACATATTTATGAAAGTTTACACAAACTGAACTTGCTGTACCAGTTCATTATTCCAATGCATGCTAAGAGGTGGAATAAAAGGAAATATAGTGCTGAAATTATGATATAAAAATGATTGCTTTAAAAGAAGATATATCAAACAGGAATCTTTACATGTCAAACTACATGAACATGTAACCTGATAAAAACATAAATATTTTCATTTTTAAGGTGAACAACTGATTTGTTTATAAAAGGTGGTATGAAAACTCACTTAACATATACCTAGGGTTAAAAAAAAGTGCTTGTTTATGTCTTTAAGGAGTTTAAAATGACAGATGCTAATAATATAATGCTGCTAGAACATAAAGAGAACAGTATACGATTACATAAATAACATTAAAAATAAACTAGAATTCACAAGATAAAATGTATTAGTTCCAAATTGTACAGCCTTAAACCATTTTAAAAACCAGCTTTTAAAAACCTATACATTTTCCACTAAAATAATGGACTTTATTTATTTCTTTTGCTGCAAGGTTAGGCAGGCTAATATGACAGAAGTCAGTTGCTGACTAAACCTTCACACCTCATTATAAAAGCAAAGCAAAGGTGGTTTGACCTAAAGTCAATAATATCATATAATACAGTAAAAAAAATGCTCAGAAAATTGCTATGTATGTATTACTAGTATTCATTGGAAAATTGTCCTTTAACCATTATAGACAACCAAACTCAAGACATTTACATATAAATATACCATGTTAGTTTGTTAATGTACAATATTAAATTAAAAATGCTATCCAATATTTGATTTGATGGGTGTATCTGTGTGTGCCCACGTTTGTGTTGGTGAGGGAGACTGCAAAGAAAAGATGTTTTTCATTAAAGATTCTAATGAACTTGAGAAAACCATCTAAAAACATTATCAGTCTATAGCACACATGCTATTGAAATTAATTGCAAAGGGGTGTTCTCAGCATCTTGTTACTTTGAAAAAATACAATTTTCTCCAATATTTTAATCTAGCCACAAATTTAGAATCTTAACTAACGCAGAAAAGTGTCCATCTTATCTTTAAGCTATGCATTCAAGTTTCAAGCACAAGAAAAAAAGCATTTCATATACATATTTGAAGGCTTATACTTAGCAATACAAAACTGGATATTTCTTTCTTCACTCCATCTAAAAAAGCCACACTTCATCCTCCCCAAAGTAATTTCCTCCATCTCTTACAAGTCATCACTTTTTATTTTTAGTATTTTCACTAATTCCTCTAATAAAGGAAAAACGAAGTTTCAATTAGGCACTGATCATTTTTAATATACTTGCTATGAATTATTCCCAAGTAAGCAGGTGAATATCTATTCACAAGTAGCCTTAGGGACTAGGCTTGTGTAATAATTAGCTGCAGACAGTTCTTAGGGAAAGGGTGTAGGGAGTTGGCACTATCTCAAAGAACAAAATAGTTGGAGTGGATATGGGTGGATAGTTGGAACTCACAAATAGTGAAAACATACTAAAAGCATACTAAAAGCATTAGACAACAAAATCGTATTCATGCCAGGCTCAAGTTGCAATAAGCATGCTGGGAAGGAAAGGAAAATCCTAAAAAATGTAGATGCTCAACCAAACAACTCCAAGCTTACTCTACAGGTACAAAGAAAACAAAATTTCAAAGATCAATTTTCTCTGCTACAAGAAGGATATGTGACTATTTTATCATATAAATCTGTCAGTCCTATTGCTGAGGAAGAAGACATTCTAATCATACACATTCTCCTTCCCTCTCTCTCCCAACCACTGCTAGACTACTGGTCAACAATAAAATTTTTCGTTTCAAATGTAACATGCAACCTCAGTTCTTCCACGCCTAGAATCTCTTTCATAATGTTCCTCTGTGTTCCTTTGAAACACAGGTGTTTCAAACATTCCACCAATTGTACATCCCACCCATGAGGTTTTTTGGGTCAGGAAGAGTAAGGATATTTCACAAAACTTTATAGTGATTTACTTTTTGATTCACCCATAAAATGGGGAGTAATATTAGTACCCACTTAAAATGGTTACTATGAGGACCAAATGAAATAATGCTTTTAAAGTGATTAACACGTTGCCTGACATGCAAGTATTCAGTGACTGTGAGATATACTATCATCATTGGAAGACAATTGATATTGACTAATTATGTGAAAGAATAATCTCTGAAGAGTTAGCAATGAATGTTAAATATTAAAACTTCTATCCTCAGTGCCTGGCATGCATCCAATAAATATGGTTTTAAACTGTGCATTCCTCTCAAGGTCAGTTACAGAACCACGTTATTCAGCAGTAATCAGACATATACAAATCTTCTCCCATATCCTGCCACCTCCCCCCAAACCCTGGGCCTGCCTTATTTCCAGAGTTTTATATTAAAAGCATTCAGACAAATCGGAAACAAAAATGTGAATCTAAAAATTTCTTTACAGATGCATGATGACAGTTTGCTTCTGATTCTGTTTCCTTATGGAACTGATTGTTCCTGTACAATCACTTTGATATATTATTCTTCAATACAAAAGTTTCGATATTCTTTGAATTAAACACACTTAACCAGTTTTTTTTCTTGTTTTGTTTCTGTTTTATTCTTTTAAAATATGTAGACTAAAGCTAAGATCATGAAAGGATAAACGCAATTTTTAACATAAAGCTTCTTCTCCTCTATCCAGAATGGGATACAAAAAATAATTTCATATATGTATTGTGAAACTCTTTCTATAGCATACACTATTGTAGATAAAACTACTTCCCAAGATTTAGTGGTAACTAGGGCACAACACAACCTAGGTTCAGCCAGGCAGATGTGCTAAATAAGGGTCTGTAAGAAGAAACTAGATAGCTTGAGAAGGCGGGGGGGGGGGGCGGGGGGGGGGGGGGCGGGGTAGAGGGATAGGAACAGGACGGCAGTGAAGGGTTTTATTCTCCCGGGGTTGTCATTGGTGACTGCCACTTACTGAGTGAGTCAGGGTCATTAGAGTTTATAGAGGCAGGTTTGTAGCAGGCCAGTTCTAAGGTATGGTTCTAGGAGCTGTTTCTAGAAATTCAAAACATAGTCCCTTCCTTTAGTTCTCCCAATGTGTCTGAAAACTATCTTATTCTATTTAGTAAATCCCTTTCTGCTTAAACAAGCTGATTTGGACTCTGCTGTCTGAAACTAAGAACCCTCACCAATACCCAGAAAATAAAGAACATTTCAACGAAACTCAATAAACTCATCTGTCTATATAAATTTAAAAAACGTGCACAACTAAAAACAGTTTTAGAAGTCTTCACTACAGTTACACATTTGTGAAGGTCACTGAAAGCAGATTTGAAACATTAATAATACTGGTGATATGACAATTCATTTTTATGTAAAAATTCCTTACAGATCAGTCTTCTGCCATTAATCAGGATGTCTTTTTTTAACCCTTAAGGATTACTAATATCAAAACAGAGTAAGTTTAGGAGTTAAAATTTTTACTCTGTAATTTCAATTGACCATATCATTTCAGCTACTGAAAGCAGTAGGAGAAAATCTTGGGAAAATTAAGGGGGAGGATGAAATTTTGCTTTTCATAAATTAAGTAAATAAATATAATGGGCGACCCAAAATTATAAACCGGGTTCTAGATATTTAACTTTTAAAAATTGTAAAACCAACTTCAACTAAAAGAACTTCTCAAAATATCAAAGCACATTATTAAACTCATTTGGATATAAAATAATTACTGGATAAAAATGAACTGAAACAATTTTAAAGAAGTAATAAAATCTTTTGTATGCAAACCTGAACACAATATTTAAAAGAATCTGGTTGAAGAGTCAAAGTTAGCACAACTATACTCTGTTTCCCACAGTTTCTGACAATACAGTTTTCAATTAAATTTTTAACTATTGAAGATATATTTAGTATTTTAAAAACAACATAACTAATTTTAATATAATATTTGTATTAATACCAGCTGAGTAAATTCATACTTTAAGTAAAGGCCCACATTTTATTAACATTCTGGGTCTCCTGGGTCATTCTGGGTAAAGGCAAGTATTATCTTAGTATAATATACCTTTAGAAATTATTTAAGAAAAAATACTATATTTTAATAACCTAACATTTCTAGTTATACTGTAAGTGCATATATTTCCTCATTAACCTCTATAATTGGTCTTCAAAATAGAAAGAATTACTATCATTTTTCTTAAGCAGTTGATTAGTCCGTGGTACAGATTACCTAGGGAACTTGAATGAAGTAACAAACTAGTAAGTAGCAGAACCAAACGTGAATTCAGTCTAACTTTTCTTAAGCCTGTTCTTTTTCTATTATACCAGGATGATTTTTTTAAAAAGATAAATCATCAGTTTCTTGATTACTTTTCACATATAAATATAAAATATATAAAATATTTTATATAAATATAAAATATTGTACCTAATAATATCTTACTTCCATCTCAATGGAGTAGTGAGTGTTACTGAGAGGAGCAGGATGTGAACCTTGGTCTATGAAGATAAAGGTAAGTGCTCTCAATTAATTACATAATAGGTAATAATGAATAATTTATAAAGGAAAATAATTATGTAAACCTGGTGTCCTAATAATTTCTCTTCTAAACTAACTTTTTTGAAGTCTACTGACCTATTAAAACAGATCTGTTCAATAGCCTAACAAAGGCAAAGATAGACTGTCAAAGGCAATGATCTTTTTCATTTATCACAAGAATGCTAATTAATTCATTAGCCTGACAATCAACTGCATTGCCAGTTAATTTGTGAAAGTAGAATGAAATAGCTTACCGTGCACAAGGATGTCTTTGTGATTTTCAGAGTAAAATCTGAAGAAAACTCCAAATCTGAGATAGATATTGTATGGCAATCTATATGCTACCCATTAAAAAAGAGTGGAGAAAATAATTTAGTAAAACTAGTAAAAACAAAACCAAAACAAAGACTTCCTTTTATGCAAAAAGGATTACTGTAAACCAATGTTTTGCAAACTTTAATCATTTCACCTCACTTTTGGGATTGTTTTCAAATGTAAGGGCTACTAGCACTATCATTTAGTTTTTCTTTAAATCAAATTATTATTTTTTACTTGGACTTCTTCTAGGAATAGTATATATCAAATCATGGCTCTGATGTGCTAAAGTTTTTTCTAAGACATGCTGAAGTACTTTCAAATAAAAAAATGTTTTTCTGTGTTCCAAATAAAATTTTGTATACCACTAGTGATACACATTTGCTATAAATTCTGTGACAACAGTCAATATTTTTATAGGAAATGCCAACTTGAAAACATATACTAATGAGAAGGACGAGGTATTTTGGAATTCATTTTGTAACTGCACTTGAAGATAAGTTTGTTGGCAAAACCCACTATGAAGATTCAACTAAAACAAATGACCAATTATTCTTATTTTCCCAGTCTGCCCTGGTTCTAGCCCTTTTCCATCTTACTGTGCAGAGCAGACGGAATCAGCTGTAGCAGCATGACCAGAGTATGCCACAAAGGATGCCAACAGCTGACTTGCTATGAGTAGAATATAACACAGTGAACACAATTCACAGGACTATATACCAGAAGCATTACTCTATTTTAAAAGAGTTTGAGAAAACGGAAAAGTTATGAAGTAGTTGTCTTTTATTTGTAGGGGGATTAGGAACATAGAACAAACTGTATTTACCTAAACAGACAACTCATTAATGTTTAAAAAAAAAAGAGGAAGGGTATACTTTTGAAACACCTTCTTTTTTCAATTCCTAATTTTCTATTTCAATGGTTTACTCATAGATTTTCTGGCATTCAATCAAAGAGATCACTAGAGTGAGAATTTAGCCCTTCCCTCCCTCCATCACAACCCTCCTCTTTCTGCTCAGCCTTAGGGTTGAGCTGGCTATAACTACATTCCTCCCCTTTAGCCAAAGAATCCAAATAACTCCCTTACTATCAGTGCCACAGCACTAAACGGTGCTATAGTCATTATCCAGGCTGCTTTTTCTTTTTCTTTCTTAAAACCTGAACGCAATTTTAATCAGCTTGCTCTTGCGAAAAACCTTTACATGTTTATTAGTCTATGCTCATTTTAAATATTTTACCCATTTAAGAAAATTAATAAACATTTACTGAATATCTTCTTTGTAAATAGAACATTTTTGATGCTATTGAAAGTGACAGTATGAGTAAAAAGAGGAGACAATGTTTGAACTAAAAACTAAACAAGCTGTATTTATTTATCTAACTGAAACAGACAAATTAAGGAGTTTTTAAGAAAAGCAATGTTAATATTCAACCCATGTAAATTTGACAGAGCAAAATTCATAAAACTAGATATGTACAAGGTAAAGAATAAGATATTAAAACACTAAAGAAATTAACTGAAAAGTCTGAACATAGTAGGACTTTAGTTTCATGAATAAATTCACTGTAATTGCTCTGAAAGGGTTGGAATGAGTAAGAGAAGCTGAATTGTGTGGAATATAGGATATGAATGAATTATTTGCCTATAAAAAAGAAGATAGAATAAAGCCATGAGGTGGTGATGAAGCAGAAATGACAATGTATACATAGCAAGACTTCTCATCTTCACTAAGTCAAATAAATGACTCAAACCCTGAATATAAGAAACTTCAATATAGCAAGAGAAGTGACTGCAGAGAGATGATACAGTCAAGTGGTAAATATTACGACTTTAAGTTGTTTTAAACTAATTAAAATAGGAAGAATAATTACTGTTTCAAGGACCACTTATAAAATCGACATTAACTTTAAATACTGAACTCATTAATGAAAACTAAGAAAAGTGGCAATACTGTTGAAGAAAATAAAATTGGTAAAACACCTACCTTAATACTACAAGGGTCTGAAATAAGAGTCTTTGGATCTAAAACTTCCACAACAGCTTCTGGAATAACTGCTTTCTTCATGCAGGACATGTTGAAGCCATAAACATCATCCCAAAAGGCAATTCTATCAGCATGTTTATTCACATCACTTACTGCCACAAGGCTGATAGTGCAAATATCAGGGTAGACTGTAAGAAATAAAATACCCAACAATTTAGCATTACCTCTCTTTATTACAAAATGGAATTTTTAAAGACTAAATATAAATACCAAATCTATCAGTATGGATTACTAGCAATTGATTACTAGCAATGAAGATCTATGAAGGTATAAACCAAGAAAATAACCAAGTTCCATCTTTTAAAAAAGTCTTTAAGAAAAAAAGATTTCCATTATTATGAAGGATTTCACTGATGGGTTATTATTAAAATAATTAAAAGAGGATGGTATAATTAGATAATCCTGAAATGAACATATTTATTAATATTAAACTTACAATATGCTGACTTTAAAAAGGTACTAGATCTTTAATTTATATATTCCTTGGAAACATACAAAAAGAGACAAATCATTTAAGAAGATTATGTGACATGTGAAATAAATCATGTGATGGAATTTTATAGTTGTATAAAAGACCAGTTCATATGACCGTCTCTTACTTATTATAAAAGAGAAGTAATAATAAGCATCAAGTTAGTGCCAGATAACTTATTTTAATTTATGGATATATGTCCTGACTCTCAAGAAACTTATATCTAGACATTTTTGACAAATAAATGGGCAATTATACGTGAGGTAGTAAGTACTAAGAAAAGGGAAGTATAAGGAACTAAAGGAGCTCACAGAAATAGCTAATTCAGATGTGGCTACAGAAGGAGAACAGGAGTATTGCGTAAGGTAAGAACTAAAGACTAAGAAAGGAGTGGGTAGAGAAAGAGTGTTCTAGGTAAAGCAAACAGGGTGCATATATAGTCACAATATATACTCCAATTTGAGAGAAAAGTGAGATACAAGGCTACAGAGGTAAGTAAGAATCAAAGAAACATGGCTAGGCAAATGACATTAGTAAATTGGATTTTATCCTAAGAATAATGATAAGCCAGTGAAAAAAATTACATAGTGTAGCAACTTAATCAGGCTTTGGTTATAGAAAGGTCTTCTAGAGTGCAATGTGGAGAATGGAAGGGAATGTGTAAGACTAAGAGACAATGTAAGATAGGTGTAACAATCCGGGTGACCTGAAGTAGAGTGAGGGCCGTGGCAATGGAAAGGAGGGGATATGGTCAAAGGCTACTTAGGAGGTAGAATTCATAAGGCTGTAAGACTGGCTGGCTGTGGAGGTGAGGGAGAGGGAGGAGTCAACGGGGACAGTTTTTAGCTTTAGCAACTGCGCAGAGTGGGGTACTAACCATTATTACAGGAGGTAAATAAGGGCAGATTCAAGAGGCATATGAGAATGTAAGGCTTATGAGACAAACGGGTAAACATATCCAAGATACAGGCCTGGAATTCAAAAGAGATGACCTGGTTTCAAGATATAAATTGAGGACCAGGAGCATGTAAAGGGAAATGTAAGTGCTGGGAGCTCATGAGATTTAGGGAGAGTACACGACGAGTACCAGATTTTAAGAAAAGGATGTTGAGAAGAAAACGGCTGAGAGGCAGGGGATACAGAAGTAAGAAGAAAACCAAGAGTGTTAAGAGTGGTAAGGGAAGACAGTGCTCCAGGAAGAAACTCTCCTCTAATAAGAGGTATAAGTCTTCATAACAAAAATTCTAAAGTAATACTGATGTTTTACTAACAAACTTTGTCCTTCAAATATATCCACATTTATCATAAATTAAAATATAAACCACATTTTCCTCTCCCAACAAATTGAAAGCAAGGACATATGTACCAAAGAAATGCACAAAAGAAGTAATTTCATGACTATTAACTAGCCTTCAAACTTAAATGGTAGAGAAATAACCCTCACCTTCCCCCAAACTTTTTTCTATCCACAGCCTTAGGAATTTTATTATTCAATGACAGCAGCACTAAATTATCTTCCAGATAAAGCCCATGATTAGATCTGCTGGCATCAAAGCAATTGCTTCTTGCACACCTGACATGTGAGATACCCAGAAAAAATATTTGGTGCTATGCCACTGATAAGAGGTTTCTCAAGTCCTCCCTACGGAGGCCTGTGAGGCAGACGTGAGAGCTGCACGTGGACTAGAGTCTACTGCCATGTACATTCAGGTACTTCTACTTTGCTCTTCCGCCACAGGCATGGTAAACTTCTTGCCTGTACATATATTTCTGGTTGGTACAAATTCTTCAAAGTAACAGTTTTATCATTGAAAATGCTAACCCAGCAAGAGTATCAGCTACAGGAAAGTATGTTTAGTTTCTTAAACCAGATCCTTAAGAAGAGAAACAATGAAGAAGAAACAGAATTCTGAAGCAACTTTACGTATTTGGAAACTTCTGTATGCATCCCTCATGGGACTTAGCATGACAATCATAGAAGTGTTCCCACATTATGTCCCATAAGTTCATCTTTAAAAAGGACCATAACAAGGGGTCAGCAAACATTTTCTGTAATTATTTTAGGTTTTGCAGGCCATATGGTGTTTGTTGAAACTATTCATCTCTGCAGCTATAGTGTAAAAGCAGCCACAGACAATATGTAAATAAATGAGCATGGCTATGTCCCAATTAAACATTATCTACAAAAACAGGCAGCAGACTAGATATAGATACTCCTGATAAAGAGGAAAAAGAAATGGATGAGGGCAGTATTATCAGGGCTACCATATTTTATTACATCAGAGTGCCACTCACATTGCAGTCTATGAGAATCAAACATCCTCTGGCGTACACAGACTTTCAACGTACTTACCGCTGTCCACAGACTCCTTCTATTTAGGCTATTATTAAAAATTTTAGTGAAATTTAAAAAATATCATCAGTCTCTACATCAGGAGTTGGCAAACTATGGACCATGGGTCAAATTCAGCCCACTGCCTGTTTTTGTAAATAAAGTTTAGCTGAAACATAGTCACACTCATTTATTTACCTCTAGTCTATGGCTGTCACTGTGCTAAGGTTGAGTAGTTGGGACAGAAACTGTATGGTCTACAAAGTTAAAAATATTTATTATCTGCCCTTTGGTAGGAAAAAATATTCTACGCTCTGACTCTGTATCTATCAAGCAATATGATGCACTAGTATTACTATTAAGAATTAAGGATAAGTATTTCATAAGCAGAAATGACATCTCACTAAAAATAACTTAAAAAGTTTTGAAAATATGGTGGTAATAAAAAGAAACAATCTAAAGAGAACTATGATTTTTACTTTTTCTAGTGCTGAGGTACATTTTCAAGCTATTATATTAAACAAAGGTACAGAAATATTGTTTTTGTATTTGTTAGAATTTAGAAATGAAATTGTTTATCTTTCAGTTAGAAAGTTCTATGAATATTCATAAAGAACTTGTAATCAGTGTTATAGGTCAATTCGGTTCTATATCCACCTCCTCACAGCTGGCTAAAATGTTGGGCCACCCGCCAGAATCCTGACTAACCCTTTACCTTCACATTCTAACACATTTGTCATTTCGTTTTTGTCAGATAGAAGAATAATTGAATAATTATTCTTTCACATAGGTGAAATTAACAAAGCGCTGATTGGACAAACGAACCCTCTTAACAGACCATTTATAAATTCAGAGCTTTGACATCTGTGTCCTTCTCGATTCACTGCCCAGAATCCATTTGTCACTACAACAGCTCACATGGTGAATAGAGAAAGATGGAAAATGCCTCACAAACTTTTGGACACTAAAGGATAAGACTGAGATGCATAAAGGAACAATTTCCTAGTAAACATGAGCATCATTGCTTGCACAGAACAAGAGAATAAAATGTTTAGAACAGAAGGAGATAAAAGTAAAAATAAACTTCTTTCACAATATATGCGAACAATACGGAGAAAGATTTGAATGAATTAAGTCAATGATAAAATGATCAACATGCACAAGAGAAAAATGTACTACTAAGTCACTAAATCAGCAAATATTGTGGGAGTTGAATAAGCTTAAAAAATTAACTTCCACTTACATAAGGGTATCTTAAAAAACTAATACTTATTTGGAAATTGAAAACATTTTCCCGTCATTAATTTACAACAGTGAATACGCCCATCAAAGCTTAGCTAGCCTAAAATCTAGCTGCACTATGTATTGAAAAATTATGTACTAAAAAAAAGTAAAAGTTGATAGTACTGCAAAATCACTGAAAGAAACAAAAATAGTAAATGTGAAAAAGCAGATCTGATGATGAGGAAGTAGACAGTGAATTATGGAAACACTAAAGGAAACCTTTAAGCACTATGAATCACTGCCAGTGGCTGACGGCACACAGAAATAAGCTATGTAAAAGTCAAGTACTATACAAAAGGCAGGTGTTAACATGATGCTTAAATTCATTCTCATTTTTATAAGGTAAACACCTAACACTAATATCATGTTTACCAGCTATAACTCAGGAGGGAAGTCAACATTTATTAACTATGTTACGTCAAGCCATTTAGACTTTTGACTGATTCTATAAAGCGGGATTATAATCCTCATTTTACAGAAAAGGAAACTGAAGTTAAGAGAGATAAAGTGACTTGCCCACATTATTGGTCTTACTTAACTAGATAACTAGTCAACAGCCAAAGCAGGAATACAACTTAAGGTCTAACCACAAAGTCTGTATGCTTTCTATTATGGCGCACTTCATGCTTTTCAAATGAAGACAGAGGAAGTGAAACACCATTTTCCTAAGTTAAATGGACACTTCTTGGAAAAGAAAGAGAAAGAGGAGAAAAGGGTTGAGAAAAACTGGAGATTAATAAAATTTCAGGGCAAAGTGAGGAAAATGGAAATGTTCAGCTTTGTCCTAAGAAATGACAAGATGGACAAAAAGAACACAAAAAAGGAAAGAAACTAAGCAGAAATTAGAGAGTAGTGACTGAACTGTATGGCACAGTTTTCTATAGAGAAGGAAACAGCAAAGGAAGCATATTTGCAGATCTGCAATTTATAACAGAGGCAATTTCTTATTAGTGTAGATCAGATGTCCAATGTCTGATGCACTAGTATTACTATTAAGAATTAAGGATAAGTTTTTCATAAGCAGAAATGACATCTCACTA